GTGTGATATATAAACGTTTCTTGTGCACCGAAATGGAAAAGACATGAAACGAATGGGGCTGACAGGACATGGCAAAAGTCCCACAAAAAAGGGATAATGTATGGTTACCATAGCCAGCTCAGCTATTATATCTTTGGCAGCTTATGACTGATGATGGAAACAATTGTGGGCTATCCTCTAACCATTCTCATTGCCAACATTTTGCACAGATCAGGTGTACAGTATCAAAATGATTCAAAATGTATCAAATGTGAAAGACTGCAATAGTCTAAGCATCTCCAAGCACCTGTCGCTGCGGCCCTGCTTGGATGACCTACCCGTGTAGCGTTGCATGCTTCGTACCAGCCAAAACCGCGTGTAGACAAGCTTTTTACTAATTGAATCGAATAATGTTGCCAGCGCTAGCTGGAATGTCCAGTGGGTTTCTAAACAGCAACGGAAACCAGAAAGCAAAGCAGTGATGTGCAGAGCCAGATCCTAGCAATTCCAACAAAGAGCAATTCACTGTGCCTGTGGCGGTGGCCAGTTGTAGCTGCGTTTCATCGACGCTCCCATGGTGCCACTCTCCACCTTTCAACTGTTCTACGTGGGTCAACGGTTAGAGCCTGTCGAAAGCGTCTCCAGCCTTCTGGACCCTCTTCCAAGTTGATACGTCCGTGTCCTTGGACACTCTTTCTTGCTTTGAGCATTCAAAAGTGCCTTGAACAAAGATAGTACACAAAAATACAACAAGAAGGTGTTCGGGCCCTTTGGCAAGGCAACCTTGAAGACTTGAAGAAGGGAGCCGTGCTATATGAAAGGAGTCCAAGGAATATCTTTCTTCCCTTATGAGGCACCCTTACCAACCCTCACAAGGACAGGGCATGCTCTTAAAAAATATTCCGTCCTCAACCATCTCCACGGCGTTCTGGACACCCTCACTTGAGGTTATGCCCAAACTGGCGATCAGTGGCAATATGTTTGTGGCCAGAAGCGACGACAAACGAATGGCTGGACCGTACCCAAATGTTCCAACAAAATGGTTCTATAGGTTTTTCGACCTATTGCTTTCCAATGTTTCTGTTGTCCTGTTGCTGTAAACACTGTCAATATGCAGTTTGTCATCCACTCATGGCCTGTCCCACAGGAGCTGCTTCTTCTCCTGCACCTGGATGCTCCGAGCGTGACGGAGCATGAGGGAATGCTAGGTCGGTCGATGCCTTACAAAACCCAATTACTAGCGATGGCCTCCAACCTAATTGTAATATATTGTAATGGCCTCCAACCTAATAACGATGGACATAGTCGCCTACTGGGAAGGGGCCAACGCTTCACACTTTGTGATGCGTTTGATAGCAACTTATTTTTGCTAAGCAAGGCCCGGCCTTCTTGCTAACACCTCGCCATGCATGCTCCCATGGTTTCAGCTGCTTGCTACTGGCATTAACCTCTCAGTGCAGAGTGGATCGGTGCCCGTTCCAAGCAAGAACCATCTAAAAACATCGCAGCAGTATCTTAGACTACACATCGCCATCGTACCGTGGCAAGGATGAAATGCAAAACTATAGGTGATACGGTGATACGTGGGCCAATGTGTAGAGAAGTCGTGTCGGCAAATATAGGTTTCAGTGGCCTCCCAGTAGTTCTTGGTCGGTCCAGAGACGCCCCTGCAAACAAAGTAGCAGTTCACAGCCACCAATTCACGCGAGATTACTGTAGCTCTCTCGTTGGACTTGACAAAGTTGAGCATACACAACTGCAACATGTCCGCACACTAAAACAGGTGATACATTATTGACAAGCCGGAAGTTCAACAAACTTGTTTACATATAAAAAACCATGTGGCCAGACCACAAAGGGTCGAAGTGTCGCCACGATACAACGGAAAAGGACACCATAAAGACAAAAACAAGGAATTATAGGACCGGATAACCCCACATGTTGACAACTTCACCAGACACAGGAGCGGACAATTGGTGGTTGGTGGTTGGTTGGTTGGTGGTTGGTGGTTGGTTGGTGGTCCTCTCCGGCGCGACCCTGGAGCATCCAGCTCACTACCGAAGCCAGGCATCGTAAAAT